CACGAGTGCCGATGAGTCGAGGCCGTCAATAACAACGTTTAAGTTGTTGGACACCGAAGCAGGAGCGTCGTTGTGATGCGTATCGTCGGGAGAGTGGGAGCGCTCCGTCGTTCGTGGAGGCTCTTTACGTCGGTCGTCTTCGGCAACTCCACCTCCAGGGGTTGCCGCGCCTAGTTTCCCCGGCGAGGAGCGAGGGGCGACAGGCTTTCACGTCGGGGTCGGTGCATCGGCGAAGCTGGACGTCGCGGTGACGGCGACCGGAACTCTCGACGGGACGCAGGCTCGGGGGACTGGGGTCGTCGCAGGTACTCGTCGATCTCCCGAGGGCGTTCACCATACCGGGGGCGCGGGTCGCTTGGGTGGAACCCGCGTAGCCCGAGTCGTCGGTATGGGCATCGGCGGTAGGTGTGGTCTGCCTCCCCGCAGTGGAAGCACAGGGGCCGTCGGTCGGGCGTTCGCCACACATCGGTCTTCCGGGGTGCACGGGGCTCCTGGCTGGCGTACTGGGCCTGGTCGTCGTGGCGTCGGTCGTGCTGCGGCGCAGGAGACTGGCGTCGGGGCGTCGCGACATAGGCGCGAGGAGGAGGCGGTGGCCGTCGGGCCACTGCGGCGTAAGTTAGCGCGGGTTCTTCGAAGGCTGCTGCGCTGATGGGAGCCTCTGGTTGAATGGCTCTCTGCACCTCTTCCCGCACGACCTCATCGATGGAGAGCGAAGCTGGTCGGTCCGCGGCGGGTAGTAACTTTCGCAGCTCCTCCCGGACGACGTCGCGAATGATCTCGCGAATGCTTGGGATGCTGGAGCCAAGGTCGCAAGCGGACGGCGGAACCGCGCTGACGCCGGGTAGCCTTTGGTAGTGGCTGGCTCGGGCTTGCAGGGCACGCTCGATGTTCGTTGCCTCGGCGACAAAGTCTTCGACAGTTGTCGGAGGGCTGCGGACAAGGCCACCAAAGATGTTTTCTCTCACGCCCCGCATGAGGATTCGTAGCTTCTTCTCCTCTGTAGCCCGAGGGTCGGCGCGGGCGCTCAGGCGCAGGACGTCCTCTACGAAGCCGGTGACACTCTCGTTGGGGCCCTGGGTTCTGGTTCGCAGTAGGTCCTCGGCTCTCTCTCGGCGGTGGTGGTTGATGAAGGTAGCCTTGAGATCGTTCTTGAAAATGTCCCACGACGTCAGGGAGGACTCATGATTCTCGTACCAGTGCTTGGCAGTCCCCTCAAGCGAAAAATAGACATTGTGTAGGCGCTGCTCGTCTGTCCAGCAATTGTGGCGGGCAACGCGTTCATACTGGTCAATCCAGTCTTCGACGTCTTCGTACTGCTCGCCGTGGAATGGAGCCGGTGTCCGAGGAGCGACGGGTAGGTAGACGACGGCAGGAGCGGCGGGGGTCTGCGACTGGTTGGCCATCGTCGGCTGCCTGGTCCTGGGTGGTAAAGGTCCGTATTCCGGGTGTAGCCCTTGGGTTCGGCGACTTGATCGAGTCTCGATCTGGTCTTCGTTGGGTCCTCGGGAGCTTGGGTTCGGACTTGCAGTGCGGGAACTTGGGGGGCTGCGCTGCACGAACATGCGGTACCCAGCACCTCCACCAAAATGTCACGGGTGGTGACTAATAAACAAGAAATAAACAGGAATAAATAAACGTTTAATGTGGCGAACTTGTGCCAAAAATAAAAGGGTACAAAAGAAAGATAACAACAGAGCGTCGCGGGCGTCGAAGGCGGCGAAGCAGCACGATCAAACGCTGAGGCGAGACTGACTCGACAAGGTCGCGGGCGGCCTCTTATCTAGAGTGCGCCGCTATCTCGAAGATTCGGCGAAAGCGGTTCGAGCGTCGCGTGATCGGGGCGAGAATGAACACGCACTTTCTAGAAAACAAAAGCAGGGATAAATGATAGAAGTTACGTGCGGTACATGAATAAACGGGAACTTTCTGGAGGACCGTGACCGAGCGTTGCTTTCTCAGCCTTGCGCGCGGCAATATGTGACATGTTCGGTATGAACTTTGTCAAATAATTGACCATGCCCAGAAAACTTCTCAGTTCATGAACACTTGAGGGAGGCTTCATGTCAACGATAGCCTCAATTTTGGCACTGTCTGGACGAATTCCTTCGCGGTCGATGATGTGACCCAGGAACTTCACTCTTTGTACGTTAAATTCGCACTTGTCCGGATTCAAAGTCATTCCTTTCACCTGGAGACGTTCCAGAACCAGACGGAGTCTGTCATCATGCTCTTGTTGCGAGCTGGCATAAATGAGAACATCGTCCATGTTGCATACAACACCTTCGAGACCGTTCAGAAACTGCGACATCTTCTTTCGGAAAAATTCTGGAGCCGATGATATTCCAAACGGTAGTCTCTTGAATTTGAACCTTCCGAAGGGTGTGATGAAAGTCGTTAGAGCTTGGGACTCCTCAGCAAGCTCAAATTGCCAAAACCCAGAATTGGCGTCGATCTTTGAAAAATAGCGTGCTCCGGTGAGCTGCCCGAAAACGTGTTCTCCTACAGGTAGTGGGTGAACTTCCCTTTCGACGAACTTGTTGAGGTCCGTTAGATCTACGCAAATTCGGACCTCTCCGTTGGGTTTTCTCACGATCACCATTCCAGAGCACCATTCAGTTGGCTCCTCGATTGGCTCGATTATTCCCATCTTTACCATTTCTTCGAGCTTCGTCTTGGTCTTGCCGAGAAGAGGAATGGCCACTCTTCGAGGTGTCATCATTGCGAAAGGTACAGCGTCAGGTCTCAGTTTGATCTTGTACGGAATCTTGACGTGACCCAACCCAGAAAATAACTTCGGGTATTCTCTTTTTGGGTCGACTGTGCAGCTTCGCACGGCCCCAACTCGATCAAGGTGCTGTACGATGCCTAATCGTTCACTTGCATCTCTTGAAAGAAGTGGCTGTTCCAAATCTTCTACGATGTAGATGTCGGTCATGAATGTTTTACCCCTGTAGTAAAGGGTCTCGTTCATGACGCCAAGAACTGTCAAGGATTTCTTACTTGGACCCTTGAGGACTTTCTTGGGATTCTGTAGAGAGACATCATTGAAGAATTCTTTGTACATCTTCTCAGGAATCACGGTGACGTCGGCCCCCGTGTCGACCTTGAATGTTATGGAGACTTGTCGGACGTCAACTTTGACTATCCATCGCTGTCCATCTGACGTGAACACGGTGCCAAGAAATGCCGTCTCAGACGTTGTTACCTCCCTCAGGGTGGTAGAGCTTCTGCAAACCCGTGCGTAGTGCCGCTGTCTTCTGCACTTGTTGCATGTTGCTTTTATCGCAGGGCACTTGTTCGTTTTATGTCGTTCATTGCCACATCTTGAACAGACTTTCTCGGATGTTGGTAAACTCGATCGAGAACTTTTCTTTTCCCCATTTCTTTCCTTTCCTCCCTGTTGACTTGCATCTTTTCTGAAGATTCTGTCAACGTTTTCTTCTGGGGACTTGTGGAGAGCAACTTGCTGTTTCTTGACAGCTTCTGACTGTCGAGCCAGATTTGTAGCCTTCTCGAGTGTCAATTCCGGATCTAGTTGCATTTTCTCCGACAGTTTTTGGTTGAGGACCCCGACGACAATGCGATCTCGAATCATCTCCTCGTGTAGGACGCTGAAGTCGCAAGTCTTGGCGAGGCTATGAAGTTCTGTTATAAATTCTTCCACGCCCTCGCCTTCCCGCTGACTTCTTTTGTGGAACTTCGCTCTCTCGTAGATGACGTTTCGTCGGACTACGAAGTGTCGCTCGAAAGCTGAAAGGACTTCTTCGTACTTCTCCATCTTTGCTGGAGGAAGGTTCAACGAGAGAAGGATATTGTCTGCTTTGTTGCCCATAAAGTAGATAAGACCGTTGACCTGCTCAGGCTCAGGTTTTTCTGATAGTCCATTGATGACGCGGAAACGTTCGAATCGCCGCTTCCAATGAGGCCATTCATCGGGGCTGGCGAAATCGAATTCCGCGGGAGGTTGGCACTGGAATGAGTTGGCGTTTGCCATTGCTCACCGTTCCTCTCGGGTCCTGGGTCCTTGAAATTCTGACACCATGTGTTGTTGGCTTTAATGACACAGAGCGCTCCCGGTAGCCTCCTGCCTAGACGCCATGTTTATTCTATATCCCAAAAACCCCCGTCGTTCTCCTCTTCTTCAGCAAAGCCTAACAGCACACCGCCTGCCTCCCGTGGACTAAAATTAGTGCGACGTCACGCGTGTGTGAAGCGCTTGGTGAGATTTATTGCTTTGAATGGGCACCTAGGTATTTCTCTTCAAGTAAGCAAAAGCGACAGCCACGGTGGCACGACACCACAGGAGAAAAGCCAGCGTTTTCACTTCTCAATCGCCGAAAGATACATTTTAGGAGCCCACAATTATTGCTGTTTCACTTTTTACATGGCTACATAATACACTCATCGATAGATAAGAAAATAATGGCTTTTAGTTCCTTCCTCCGTAGTCAGAAAACTGTATGTGCCGAGCATTCTAAAGAGTACATTCGCCGTTTCTTTCCATCACACTGCAATCTACGGGGCAGAGCCAGTTTACCTGGCCTAATAGATCTGTGAAAATATAGTAAGAGTGCAGGCAAGCTGGTGAATAGTAACCACTTTGAATAGACCTTTTGCCGAATTACCTGAGCATCGCAGAAAATGCCAGGAACGTATTTAGGCATGCTGGCGTCTGCAGCTGTAGCTGTTCAAAGGCTAAAATCTAAAACAAATTGCATTTCTCTCGCGCGCCCGACAAACGCTGCATTTTGGTAATTTACTTAAATTCTTTTGCATAAGGTAAACGAGCGCGTGTACCTACGTTCCCACCATTCTCTTTGATGTTTGGGTAATTTAGATAAAGGTCTATCGACCTGAGACTGGGGTAGAAGAGAAACATCAAAACATGAAAGGGACAGAAAATTGCTCGATAGATCTGCATCAGATTAAAGCGACGTTGCTTCAAAAACCGAGCGGTCACGTGGCAGCCCTTGGGAACTCATGGGGAGCCCATCCCACAGGGTGTTCCTGCTGTCCAAGCACCAGCTGCTGGCGGTGCTCAAGCCCCCCGTGGCCCTGTGCCTGGTGGGGCGTGCCCACCTGACCGTGCTCCAGGGGGCGCTGACGGTGGACGGCCATCTTGCAACACCCGGCCGCAGCGGCCTCCTGGTCGAGGCGGGGTTCCTCTCCGCTCCGGCTCACCTGCATCCCATCCGGCCGCACTCCGACTCGAGCTCGCTCCAGCTGCGTAGAGGTGCGTCAAGGCGTCACGCGCATGTTTAGAGAACAGGAAGGCATGACTGTTCGTACTTCGTGTCCAACCCTCGGTAGGCGGTGGTAGCATGCAGAAATTTATCTCGTCCCAACATTAAAGAATGGGTGAAAAGTAAGTAGACTGCCATTGGCAGTGAGTTCGTAGTGTATATAAAATAAATCTGCGGCGTCGTGGCAATTTCGGTTAATTAAACGGTCTCCTGCTTCGAAGTTTTTTTAATATTGGAAAAATTTTGATAGACAAACATATGCAAAGTGCGGTAGCATCACGTAGTGATTTAAAAGAAAACAAGGAAGTCATTAATTTTCTTGTGAATAGGGCATGAACAGCCGCCGCATGCTTGGCCCGGTCGTGCGTGCGTGTGACGGCTACAACCCCCGTAACACTGATTTGGAGCGCAGCTCTTGAGGAGGAGGAGGAGGAGCGGGTACTGAGGGGAGGGTATGCCCCTCCTGCTCATCTGTACCCTCTCCTCCTCCCCTCCTGCTTTTTTTGTGCGTGAAACGCATGTTGTCATGCGACGTTTTGGAGCGGTGCCAAAACATCACGTGACGTTTTGGCAAGGTGACGTTTTGGCGTGAGTGCCGTGCCAAAACTTCACCGTGCCGAAACGTCCGTGCGGTGCATTGTGGGAAACGTCCCACAATGCATCGCGGTGACGTTTCAACATGGTGCCAAAACATCCCCTTGCCGAAATGTCACCACTGTGCCTTATGGGAAGCCTTCCATAATATACCGTTGTGACGTTTCGGCGTCACCCTGCTGAAACGTCTGAGCGGTGCATTAAGGGAAACGTCCCATAATGCACCACGCAATTACGCCGACAGCGACGCCGACGCCGCTGAAGCCGGAAATGGGCGCCTAAGAGCTGTGCTCTAAAACATATACGTTGGTTTTAGGGGGTGTGGGGGAATGAGGGAGTGGGTTTGTCGAGCATAAAAAAAAGAAGCCCAAGACGGTCTTCAGACGTTTTGACATTCTAATTGTCTAGCAATGTTTTTCTGGCACTCCCGACTAAAAGTAATAATTGGCAATATAAATTTCTGCTCGAGTTACCTCGCTCCAGCATTTAACGTAAGTGTCGCAAACATTAAACCGTAGTGACGTGCAACGGGAAAAAAGTGAGTATCGCAAATGACCCCGAGCAAAGGTGGTAGAGGCACAAACGTGTCTCAGAACAATTGGAGTTAGACTTTGCGGAACTGCAGAATACCAAACCGTGGCTGTCTCGAAAGTGTTGCCGCTTATGGCCGATTCACACGGCGGACTGATCCGGGGATGGATTGACAACGTGACAACTTGTCTGCGGGTCATCCGTCTCCCCATCGACGCGAGGAAGACAACGAGCAGACACCAGCGAGGACGGACCAAACCTGTTTGGCATCCCGCAAGGCTGCGAAACTCCAACATCGCACTGTGGCACTGTTGTCCAAGAGAAAAATCGACGTTTGCTTCTGCGATGAAGAATCAAATGGCGCGGTTACGTACTGATTGAGACAGAACACCGTGATAGGCTTTTCGAGAAGCACCACTAGCTTTACTAACCCAAGGCATTACAGTGACACAGGCATAATCCTGTTCAAGAATGTTTTGGGGTAGAAGTGACGAAGCTCTGGGCTTGCGGAGGGGCATTTGTAGATGCCTTCAAGCACTCCGTGCTTGTGCACAACACTTACGTATACCATGGCTTCAAGAAAGGTCTTTCTCGATGAAAGGCTGATTGGACGTGCAAGAATTATCGCGGCGTACTACAGTGTAGACCGAATATAACGTATGTCGTGGGACTCGCGAAAATCCGCACTATAAGCGGTACTGCGCTATAACCAAAACATCAATTTTTCAAGCCAAAATACATGCCATGAGACAACTTACCTTTGTAAAAGAATTTATTTTATGTTAGATGAAAAAGAAAGCTTAGTTTGAGGAAAGTCTTTATTTCACCACACTAGTACAGTTCTGTCTCAAATGTGTCACACATTTTGAAAGAAACGAGCGGCTTCTGCCTGGCGCAGCCTTTTAACGGCGTCGCGGGTTGCGGACGGACGTTGCGAGCGTTCAGTATTAGTAACCCCAATCACTTCTCTCCGAAGATGAAAACGCGTAAAAATTCGCATCCTTCATACGGTACGCGCGAGTAATACCTTGAACTTGAGCACACGCATGAAATGCGCCAAATAAGAAATCCAGGCGATGTTAGAGGACACAAATGCTTAGAAATCACCACTGTAGTTGAAGTAAACAAACACGACGACACGGGCGTTTCTGCCGTCTTGAGAGCGCCGCCACGACATCGCCGCACGAGTAGGTGGATCTTCCCTTCTAGTATGTACTGGGTTATCATAGCGACACAGATTGAAAATTCACAGTCAAGGAGAGCGCTTTTACGCGGATTGATGAGATGAACGCCGCCTACGACGACGATCACAACGGACGCCATGTTTGCAAATAGAAGCAGCCGGCCCGCGACCGGCATGCAACGCGCGCGAACACTTCTCCTCGACCTGCGATTGGTCTGTCGTTGTGGTTTGTTTCCAACGCAGCAGAGGGATGCACGCACGTGAACGACACGTGCGTGCCTCCCTCCGTCGCTATGGCAACTGAAGCCTCTCTCTTCGCTTCTCCCCGCTCCTTCGAGCAACCTCCTTGCCCCGCGAGTGCCGCTTGCGCCGTCAGCGCCGTTATCTAGTGTTGCACAGGGAAGCGTGCTCGCTGCTCCGGTCGTCGGCGCGATCGGCGGGCTGCGCCAGAAACCGCACTATAACCGGTATTTCCCTTCGCGCGCCTGCATTTTAAGCGGTATGTGATTACATGGAGTTCTATGGGAGGCGAACCGGTGGTTTAAAAAAACCGCATTATACCCGGTCCTGCACTATAAGCGGTTACGTTGTAAGTGGTCTATACTGTAGATGAGTTTTGACGGAAACTTTTTGACGCAGATCCGGAGCAGTATCGAAACCTGCGTCGTGTCAGCTGGACAAAGTTTCTGCTGTTTCTTTCCCGCATGGTGCCAACAATCATGCGAGAGAATGAACCAGCGAGCGCACAAAACACAACGACGTGCCATTTTTTACTTAATCTTCAGAAAACAAAAAGCCAAGAAACCATTGTACTGTTGCCAGACTAAACGCTTTTCAATTCAACCTCCAGTCAAAAATTTGTGAGTGATAGGCGCTCGACTTCATCAGTCTACGTATCCACGGACGGGGCACAGATTGCAAGAATTGGTGACGTGTTGGTCACGTCGCACACGATCCGCGAACTAAAATCGCAATTCGGTTTGTCGTGTGAATCCGCTACAGTGGATTATACGACTTTTACGGGTCTGCGTGAAATCGTCATTTAATTTGTGAGTTGTATCATCCGAAAAAACTATAATTACGAATACGGTGATCGTTCTCGTGTGAAATGACAAGCGGAGGTTGTCCTGGGAGAAGCAACGAGTTGGAGAAAGTGTCGCGCAGAGTAGAGCGAGTGTAAAAGAGACGAGAGAGAGATGAGCGGAGCAAGGACGCAATGCAAAAACGCCGAGGCATTTAACAAGCCGAGAAGTTGTGAAATGCCTTTTATAATTCTATATAAAAAAAAATTATATATATTTTTTTTTATAGAAAAATATAATTTTAGCGCAATATTTATGCTGACTCATTTTGAGTGAGGAGGAGCACTTCAACATAAAAGCTCCAAATATAGGCTCCGAAACGGCTGTTCTTACCTAAGCATTCCACTATGAGTGTTTGTTTCAAGGAAAGCTTGCCCCATCCAGGCACTTAAAGACTTTCAGATGAGTGTTTTTAATAGGGCTATAGACCATTCCATTAGGGTCATAGCAGAGAGGGTAAAAAGGAAAAAAAAGTGCCCTCCGCCTCTCACCCGCATATCGTCTGCTCTGCCGAGTGGGCTGTACTTAGCATCTGGCTGGCGTACAAACTCCGTTTAAAATCACGTAATTTTGGAAATTTCAAGTGCAGATGTGCAGATTTTGGTATGCCAGTTATCGTGTAATACTATGCTAGATAAAAAGACTAACAGGGTCCAATTCCGCTGTTTCCTGCGTGCAAAGAAAAAAAAAAATAGGAAAAGCTGTGTCAGATTCGCCGGTCTCTTCGGCGAAAAGTAAATCCGGTTGCTGTACCTTTCCTACTACAGGAAAACCTCGTTATAACAAAGTTGAAGGAGCGATCGTAATTATTTCGTTATAACCATTAGTTTGTTATAGCCAATGTCCATTTCTTCCCTAATAGCAAGCAAGGGGAATTATGATTGCTTTGTTATATCCATTAGTTTGTTATATCCCATTTTGTTATAACGAGGTTTTACTGTATACAAAGTTCGTACTGGTGTGGGCCTTTAGCGGCCATGAGTTGAAGTCTGAAATAATAAATAAAAACATGCTCTCCTGCCACAATACACGCAGTAGTTGAGGGTAGTACTGCTGGCTGACTGAACTGCTATTTAAGTAACGGGAAAAAGATATGCTAGTTGATCATTTGCCGAAATAGAACAACAAAGAGCTCTAGGCTGATTTTGGAGTAGCCACAACTATTCTAAGAAAGCGAACCCCTTCACAACGGCAGCCTTGAGCGAGAGTTTGATGTTCCGTACAGACCGCCAGTACAGCTCAAAGATGGAGAATGGCAACGGGTGCGTCGATGCCGGGACCAGGTGGGGTTTCTTGGCTTGACTAGGAATTGGCCTTAGTTTCCTACGCAAAAGACGTGATGCGGTGCATTGTGGATGATGTGATCTTAATTCGATAGACATTTCGAAGCGTCTGAGCAGACGGTCCGGCGCTCGTCTTTCTCCCCGCAGCGCTGTCGAGGTTGGGTGCGGCAGAGGCCTGGGGCTCTCTGCGTGCCCACCTCGGCCCCGGATCGGCCGTGGTGCTGCTGGAGCGGGTGGGGGAGCGGTGGCCGGCCTGCCAGCTGGGCGCCCAGGGGCTCCTGCCCCGCCTCAAGGGCCCCTACCTGGGGCTGGGCTTCAAGCTCAGGGCGGACCGGCACCGGCAGCCTTGGAGGCTGCCCCTGACGACCCTGGCACGCCGCCTCTCCAGGGCTTCCCCAGGTGAGCTCCCGCTCTGGGCTTCGCGTTTCCTCGGACCACTTCCTCTAGGAATATCCTGCCGGGTCTCAATGGGTTGGCTCTGCGTAGGTCGACTCGTGTCTCACTTTTATGTATTTACTATTTTATTATTTCATTTATTTATGATACTGCGAACCTTTCGGTCAATGCGAGAGAGGGAAAAACATAATTTGTACGAAACAAGTAATGCCACATTGACACCCTCAGACGGGTCCTCAGACCCGTATGAGCGTGCATATATTAAGCGGGCAAACAATCTCGTAGTCTTAACTCAATTGACTTTATTAGGTAGAGTGTTCCATTCTATCGTTGTTCTACAAGAATAAACAGTATTAAGGGAGTTCATGTCGCAGAAAAGCCGGCATTGGTGTTATGACGGGAAAATCTTGATTGGTCAATAGGGTCATACGTCACAGCCACGTGACCTTGCTCGGGAATTTCAAACAACCCGCAACGCTCACGTGACGTCACGCGTGGAATGGCAGTGATTAAAACATGACATGTAATGTGAATTAAAGTTTGCCACATGTCTCAAAGGATTTCATTTTATAAAGTAATTCATTTGCCTTAATAAAGGAAAATTTAAAGAATTTTAGGCGGGATTCGAACCCACGACCCTTCGGTTACAAGCCAGACACGCTACTGACCAGGCCATGCAAGGCACGAATGAAAAGGCGATGCGAATGGGACCTGATAACACTCTCGCGTTCCACTCTTAAAGGAAGCCCAAGCGTCTTCCAAGTTTTTTCCTGAAAGATGTTTCTCAGTGGTCAGTTTTTGTTTCCAAAAAAATAGTATAAAAAAAGGGTCAATGCGCAGTTTTTTTCTTGATTATCTAGAAAGCACGTGCAGCACTGGCAACCTGTTCAGGCTTAGAAGCATCAGATGGAGATCTTGAAAGTAAAAAGTTGTCAGCTTTATTCCATTCTGTTTCGTTTTTGTGTATCCGCGACATTCGGGCAGTTTGACGTTTCGAAGTGGAGGTATGTGACAGAGCCTCTCCATCGGATGGTAAGCTCTCCTACTCCGAAGTCAATTCTGAGAAGCATTAAAAATCTCAGTTGGAAGAGAAAATTCGGTAAAAGAATTTCAGAATGATAAATGTATAAAGGAGAATTTCAAAACTATAAATATACCCAGGAATGCAGAACACCGTGCTAATGTTTATAGTTCGCCCAAAACAAACAGCAACGCCTCCCGTGGTGTGAGCGGTTTCGCATACAGGCAGACACTTCCAAATGTGTAACCGCCAATGTACATGTACGGGGACAACCTTCAAAGGGTTAAACACATCGTTGCATAGCTGTAAAAATAAAAGCTATTTGGCAGTACAGTCTAACTTGGGTATAACAGACATTGATAGTGACCAAGATCTTTTGTAAAAGGAGTGTGCTGTATACAGATACAGTGTAACGTATATAATGTATGTTATATACGTTACGTAACGTATATAACGTATGTCGCGGGAGTCGTGAAAATCCGCACTATAAGTGGTACCGCGCTATAACCCAAACATCAATTTTTCAGGCCAAAATACATGCCATCAGACAACTTACTTTTGTAAAAGTTTATTTTATGTTAGATGAAAAATAAAGCTTAGTTTGAGTAAAGTCTTTATTTCACCAGACTAGTACACTTCTCTCTCAAGTGTGTCACACATTTTGAAAGAAATGGGCGACTTTTGTGAAGTGATGAGTTGGAACTTGTGAAAGTTCGTTAGAACCTTTTCTTTTTTTTTTGAAACATCTTTCTGACAGTAGAAGTACGCTTTGATCAGTACGTATATAAAACGCAACACTATTTAAACCTGTGGCAATTGATTTTTTGGCATTTCGGCAGTACATCATATAGTTCTGCTGCCGTGCAATTTAGAAATCGCACACCTATTTAGAAATCAGGGTGACCGTTGAAATAAAACGACATCCGGTGCTCTGGAAAAAAAACAAACAAAGCTGGGTCTCTAATGGCTGTTGATTGCATCACGAAATGGTTAATTTCGTTTCTTTTTTTCTCACAAGGAGATTAGACACTTTTTAGAGTAAGTAGCTTTATTTTTCAAAACACTGCTTCTCTGGAATGAAAAGTAGGCTCTGAGGGGCTGCTATTTAGGACGCAATGCCATTCCGACTTGTGGCAGATTATTTTGCAACATTTTAGTTTATGACACAACACCGCGATAGAAATGTATGGCATATTTTGCTTTTGTACTGACGATATCAACAATCTACATGCTATTTGAAAACCGTATCGTGCGAAATATCTCGGAACACGAAATACCCGAAAAAACGGAGAAAGATATTTTTCCGAAGTAAAACCGGGCAGTGAAATTAGGCATTCTCTAACCGCGTTTTTTTCTTCCTAATCCGGTAAGAATGGGACAGAGGGCCTCCTTTGCAATCGGCTTGAAGGCCCACAACCCTCAGTGCTATCCTCTTTCTAAACTGCAGAAAAAAAAAAGCCTTTTCGCAGCTTGCAGGACGGGGTGACGGGATGGGTGGGTTAAGTGGGGCGCTTTCAGGGTCAAGCGGTCGGCTGATAACCGGAACAAAAAAACAAGCTTTTTCTTTATTTTTGTTTGGAAATAGCACTATATCGCGTAAGCAAGTGAGTAGAAAGGCTTTCTCCCCGGCGCCATCTGGATTCCAAAAAAGTTCCTATCGGAGATGAAATTCTACTGCTATATCCTCTTAACATGACGTTCCCAGAGGACATGCAACATTACAGATATTGCCCCTTATTGTTACACAAAAAAATGCTTTAAACATCCCCCAAGATTTATTTTTTATTTTTTTTGGCAGGCGATTCATTATGGTGTCAGAAGACTACCCAGTCAGTATTTTGCTACAGTACCACATATATTTTTAATAAAGTAAAATAATGCAACTGCTCGAAACCGGACTGTGGAGGAAGAAGAAATATAGAGGAGGAGAGAGTTGGCGAAAGTCACGTGGCTGTGCAGCTTTTTTCTCTCCAATCAACGTATTTGCAGCTTTTTAGAAGCCACAAAAAATGGGTATAATATTTTATGACTATTTTTAATATTGAGTGTGTGCCTTCGATGACCCTAGACTGATTACATTACGTGGTTGTGTCTAAACCATGGAAAACGGCTCGTGACCATGGAGAAGAGAGTGAGCGTGACTCTAACCAGCCAGTTCTCGATCGGCAATTTTCGGGCGGGAAGAAAACGAATTTCAAGCCGCAAATTGTTTTCTGGGTATAGTTGGGCTTTTATATGTCATGTACAAATAAAAACCTTCGTGAGTATAAATACCCTGTCAGTGTCCCTTTAAGTGGGACACTACTTAAAAAAGTGAATGCTTGAACCACTTGTGTGATTGGAATGACACTTACAGGGCTTGTTTCTGTTGATATTGAGAACATTTCTGGCAAATTTTGTTAACCTGGGTGAAGTACAAAAGCAGTTGCAAATGTTCAAAGATGAAAGTGGGCGTGTGTGCATAGGAAAAACTATCTGTTTGAAATTACTTATAAATTTGTTGTTTTCAAGTGTTTATTGCTTTAGGACAGTGTGGGGATTGTGATCCCTCAGCATTCTGTCGCGTCAGCGTTTTGGCGCGCCGTGGCGGCCGCGCTGGCGTAGCGAGAGCTGGCGCTGCTTACCACTGTGAGTGGCTTCCTCCTCTCCTCCTTTCGGGCGATTTCCGTAACGAACCCCTGCACAAAGGAGATTGACGTGTCGCTCCTTGATTGGCCACTTCGCCCCCGCCGTTATCTTAAAACCAGCGGACAGCAGGATCTCGTTTCTCTCTTCCTGGGATTCGGCGGCGGCGACAACGGGGAACCGTCCGGCGCGCCGGTGAGCGTTTACCCCGTCCTTTGTACCTTTGTGAGCGACCGTTCGGCCGTGGGCGATCTCCACACCGACGGCGTTCACCAGTTTATAGCCGCTGTTTTGTTATTTGTTTCTTTGTAAATAAACAGAGTTTATCACCGTTACCAACGTGACTGGTGTCTGCACTCAACGAGCAGCATGCCACGCGAGTACGAACCCGCTTCGCGGAAGAGCGTCTCGCCGCGAATGTGGTACTCCCAAAGGCAGTGGCCCCAAGGAGAACCACAATTTGGCGCCCAACAAAAGGGCTGACGACCAGAATTCCGGTACGTCTATGTGTGGCGACTGCTGCCGAGTGACGAGTCCTTGCGCAACCAGCGCTCACCGTGACAATGCAGACCGACTTCTCAGATTTGCTCACGCTGGCGGCGGCCGACGCATTCGCGCGGCCCCCACTTCAACGAGAAGCCGAAATGCCAACCCTCCAACGAGAAGCGCCCTACGGTGCACCCCTGGAGCCGAGCGTGGTTCCGACGCCATTGCGGACGGGCGCCATCGCTCCCGGATCTTCCCTGAACGCACGTGCTCCGCCGCCGGCACAAAGCGAAGCCTACCGGTCTCCCCACGGAGAAACCGCTGCGGCGCCTCATCACACCTTGCTCGAAAACGCGGCACGTGTGATTGAGAGTCTGACAGGTGCGTTGCGAACGACAACACTCGCACCACAGGCCCAACGACCTCCAGTCCGAATTCCCGTCCCGACTTATCGGGGTTACGCAGACAAAGCGAGCGCTACGGACTTCCTTGACGATTTATGGAAGTACCAACGCGTGATGGGAATGTCCGATCGTGAAATACTTGAGCGCATTCTGCCAATCGCGCTCGTCGACGCAGCTGCCCGCTGGTTCCGACTTTTCGGTGACCAACCCGGAACGCTCAATCAGTTCCGAGAGGCGTTCCGCTGCGAATTCCTTCCCGCCGACTACGAGAGAAGGATGCGGCGGGAGCTCGAACAGCGAACCCAGCATCTGGACAAGTCCCTGCTGGAATTCGTACGAGCCATGCAAGAGCTCTTTGAGCTCGCAGAACCCTCAGCTCCCATTGCAGAGCGAGTGGAACGCGTCATACGCCAAAGCCACCCGACTTTCGCTGCGTATCTTCGAGGCAGCCGTTTCCGCGACCTGAA